GTCACAATCCATAACAGGTGGGTGGGGCAAGTGGGTATGCACAGGCAATGGTCAAAATCCATAGTGGGTGGGTGGGGCAAGTGGGTGTGCAAGACAATGGTCAGAATCCATAGCAGGTAGGCGGGGCAAGTGGGTGTGCACAGGCAGTGGTCACAATCCATAGCTGGTGGGTGGGGCAAGTGAGTGTGCACAGGCAATGGTCAGAATTCATGGTAGGTGGGGCAAGTGGGTGTGCAAGGCAATGGTCAGAATCCATAGCAGGTGGGTGGGGCAAGTGGGTGTGCAAGGCAATGGCCAGAATCCATAGCAGGTGGGTGGGGCAAGTGGGTGTGCAAGGCAATGGTCAGAATCCATAGCAGGTAGGTGGGGCAAGTGAGTGTGCACAGACAATGGTCACAACCCGTAGCAGGTGGGTGGGGCAAGTGAGTGTGCACAGGCAATGGTCACAATCCATAGTGGTTGCGTGGGGCAAGTGTGTATGGGCAATAGTCACAATCCATAGTGGGTAGGTGGAGTAAGTGAGTGTGCACAGACAATGGTGTAGTAGAGGAACTGGGCTTCCTTCATCCCACACATCCCAGGTAAGCTGGGCATGGCTTTGCTGGTGGGAACCGAGCTCTGAAGATCAGCTTGGGATGTTCTCCTTTTGCTCTGCATCTGTAAGAACAGAGTTGGAAATTGGGTCTTTCTGTTTGTTTCTTTGCTTGTTTGAGTCAGGGTCTCATTATGCAGCCCTGATTAGTTTGGAAGTACTTGTGTAAGCCAGGCTGGTCTCAGGCTCAGGGAGCTCTGCCTGCCTGTCCTCCAGAGGACTGCAATTGATGGTGGGCACCGTCCCATCCAGCTGTGCACCATCACACACTGTGTTGTTTTGTTTATTAAAGTTGAAGATGCACATAGTGCTACCACCTACTTTAGAACAGCCTGGCTGTTCTAAAGCTTGCATGTCTAAATTTAATACTATGTGGAGAACCCATATAGTGTAAAGATATGACTAAGGTGGTTTTCTCTATCCCCTATTCACACATAAAGATAGTTTCCTTATGTGTCTCCATAAGGGTAAAAGGAGCCATTAAGACCAACTTTCATCACATTCCAGATCTTAATGGAAATTTATGCAATTAAGAAAATACAAAATAGCATAATTTTTACGTATGCTGTGCTCTAGGCTTTAGACTTTTGAAGAATGCCAGCATAATGCAGTGAATTTTAATGATTATTGCTTATAGTGTCTTTTAAAAAATGTTTGCCTTTTAACGTGTTTCTTATTAGAGAGGAATGAAATTTTTTCATTCCTAATTAGAGCTGGCTATAATGCAATGGCAGGGCTGTGCCATTTAAGAAGGGCCCAGCTGACACTTCGGCACAGAAAAAGGACTAGTCTGAGCCGTTTGGCAGCAGCTTGGCCTGTAAAATTAAGAAGTCCTTATTAACACAGCTCTTATTGGACTATCACTCTGTGAAAGCCATGGAGATGACTGGTCCAGACTACCTTGGCACACAGCACTTGAGAAAGAGAGGTTGTCATTGGCTGAGAGTCACGCAGCCTGTCAGTCCCCAATCTGATCCTGGAGTCTGTGTCGCTCTGCTCTTTGTAGGGAATCGTTTCTAACGGGTTAGCCTAGTTTCTGTTACAATATTACAGTTCTACAGGCTGGGTAATTTATAAAGAAGAAAAGTCTATTTGGGCTGTAGTTGTAGAGGCATACAGGTAAGGCCTCCATCTAGTGTTGGCCTCCTGCTGATGGCCTCCAGGTGATGTGGGGCATAGGGCACATGCTGGAATAGCATCTCCTGTCTCTCCTTCATGAAGTCACTGGGATTCCAGCATGCTGAGTAACACTATAATTCATTGAGTCATGACCTCTTGGGGGTGGAGTGACCCTTGCACAGCGTTAGGAAGGTTGAGAACCATTACTCTAACTCTGATCATCCTCTGAGAGATCCATCTCCAAACGCCACAGTCAGCTTAGGTTTCTACCTTCTTACCACCTCACACGGGGGGGGGGGGGTCCATTGCAGAACAGAGAGTCCTGGGACACACACAGCATTCTAAACTATACTATCGCCTGGGTTCACATTTCCAGTGTGATATTCAGTCCGAATATAAGCTGAGTTCTTTATGGCATGGGATCTTCACGTGCCTCGAGAAGTACCTAGTGAGGAACCACAGCTAAGAGGTTGAGGGCTGTCTCTTTAAATAAGTTCTAATGGGTTCCAGTAAGCAGTCACTGATAGAACCCAAACCAAAATAAAGACAGCCAGTAACCCCAAAGGTATGGAAGGACATTGAAAAGGGGCATGCCTGCCGTCTTATGTTTTATGTTAAGGCTGCTCTTGTAATTTCAATTGCCTTTGCATGATAGGGGCAGAGCAGGTGGCATTGTGCCATCTCCTTCCCACCACAGCCTCTACAAGAGCAGTTCTTAACCTGTGGGTTGCGACCCCTTGGGAGTCGAATTGCCCCTTCAGAGGGGTCACCCAAGATTATCAGAAAACACAGATATTTACATTATAATTCATAACAGTAGAAAATTACAGTTATGAGGTAGTTACGAAAATAATGTTATGTTTGGGGCAACATGAGGAACTGTATGAAAGGGTCGCAGCTTCAGGAAGGTTGACAACTCCTGCTGTAGGTTAAGAACAAGCAGAGACAGACTTCCTCCTTTCACCGGGTACTCGCAGCTTGTGTTCATATGACAGTGGCTGCTGAAACACCTAGTGTGTGTGAAAAGTGGTGCTGAGAACACAATGATGGTAAGTAAGATCTAGACCATCCGTGTCCTGAGGGAATGCATGGCGTCCAGTAGAGAAAGCAGTCAACAGGAAGATAAATGGGACCAACACACATGGATAAGAGGAAAGACACACAAATAAATCAAAGTAATCATAACTGGGGGCATTGCTGTAGAAAGGATATGAATAGGGTGTGGTTAGAGAAAATAATAGACTCAAGGGAAGAAAGTGGAGCCACAGGGAAAGATCGCCAAATTTCCGCCGAGTTGGTATTTAGCAATTGATGTTGAGACCTAAAATATGAGAAAAAGCAGACAGCTGGGAAAGAATTTCCTGTGACATTTACACATCCTGTCAGGATGTGGCAGGGTAGAGCTGACAACCACCATCCCTGGGAGATTGGTATCCATAGCCTCAAGGTGAGGAAGAGACAGGTGTGTGCGCATCTGACAAGATGGAGAGCGGGAAGATGTTTCCTAGTGGTGAGTAGATTGGGTAGTACAGGGCCTAGGACCACAGGCCCTCACCAGCTCTGCAGGGTCTGATACCCTGGGCCAGTTCTGCCTTAGACTGAGGATGGCATCAACGAATTGTGTCTGGTGGTGCTTAGAGGTGGAAGAGAGAATCCCAGCTGTGTGTGCTTCCCAGCCTCATTCTTGAGGACCTGTGTGCTGGTTGCTCCATCTAGAATCTGGTGAGTCAGTGTGTCAGAGGTCATCAGAAAGCCACCGTTCAGTTTGTGATGCTTTGCAGTAAAAGTTGGTAAGCTTTAGACGAGGCCAGACACCAACATGGTATCCCTGGGTGTTCCAGCTCCTCTGTGTCGTCTTGATATCCTTCAGTGACGTGACAAGTCTTTTAGGGCCTGGGATCTCTGACCTTTGAAAAGGGAACAATGATGCCGTGTCCTTCCAGCTGTGTCCTGCTGTATTGGAATGTCTGCGGTGGCACATCCATAGGCTGGAGCAGTTTAGCCAGCAGATAGTGACTTCTCACCATTCTGGAGGCTGGAAGGCCAAGGTCAAAATCTTGGCACACCTGGCTTCTCTGTGTCATGTGAGTGTCCACCTCCCCCTTGGACTCACACCATCTGTACGTGTCTCCTGCCTCTTTCCTTGTGAGGACCCCATTCAGAGTAGGTTAGGGCCAAACTCATATTATCTCACATAACCTTACTTACCATTTTAAGAGCCTTCTCTTCAAGTGAAAGCATACTCCCCTCCCTGTGGGGGCTTCTGCCATTCGTCCTTAGAACATCCCGAGTCATGTTTTCCTGCCAGCTGTTTTGGGTCAAAATAAATAATTTTGGTGGTTATAATGTATAATTAGATTATTTTAAGCCTCGAATAATCCTTGTACTCTGATTCTTCACAGAAATGTAAGGCCACAGAAAATGTGGTCATCTGAAAACTAAATGTTTCAGATGAGCTTGGGGGGAAGCAGTTCAGCTCCTGTCAAATAGGCGCCATCTATGAAGTGTTCACCACGCCAGTGTCTGTGCTTTCCCAAGATCTCTTTGTGGTAATAAAGGGGGATGCAGTACACATAATAGCCCCATGAAGTCCCCTTTTCAAGATCTGGGGCACAGAGGAAGGAAATAGCTTGCCTGGGCATGTGGTTAGCGGCAGAATTCGAATTCTGTTTCAGTCCACTGTACTCAGGCATTCTTCCCCAGGAGTCCCACTCTGAGCCAGGACTTAGCACTAACCTGTGCCCAGTGCCTTCCTGAAGGGCTCACAGCCACTCTGGGGGTCTCTCCTGGAACCAGTGTGGCCCCTCTCTTTAGCCAGTCAGCATTCTTGGGCTTCTAGATAACCGTCTCTGGAGTCCTTTAGTGATCTCAGCAGCGAAAGTTGTGTTTTTCCTTTGCTCTGAAAAAGGCACAAGCCTGGGCTTTGGGAGAGTCTCTTTCCAGTTCCAAAGGGCTCTGCTTCAGGAATCAGAGTTTAGGCCACAAATTCAATATTAGTTTCCTTCGACCACATTTTCTGTAGCCTTACATTTCTGTGAAGAATCAAAGTACAAGGATTATTCGGGGCTTATAACCATCTAATTATAGTTTATAACCATCAAAATTATTTATTTTGACCCAAAACAGCTGGCAGGAAAACTTGACTCAGGATGTTCTAAGGACAAATGGCAGAAGCCCCCACAGGGAGGGGAATCTGGGCAAGGCAGCCATGTGCAGGGTGGTTCTCTGAGATCACAGACTTAGCTTCATGCTTGGTTTCTGAAGTCTCTCTTTGTGCATTACCCTATAGCTAACTCGGTGCATGCTATAACCTTTTGCCCTGGGGTTTGCCAATTCCTCGCATCTGCTTCTGTGCATCTACTTCCATCAAGAAATGATACAAACATCACCACTGATGGCCTCAATAAGGTATTTCAGAAGGCTCTGAAATTCCCCATCTCTAAGAAGGTCTGGATAAGAATCAGTTCTCTTGTGCCTTCTTTCTGATGCTGTTGGGAAAGGAACAGAACGAGTTGCTGCCAAAGAGCCAGTCTAGACGGAACCGGATCTGAGTATGGTCACACTGTTGGTGACGAGTAACGTAGGTGAGATGTCGAAGCAGCCTGATACCTGAAGGGGAGGAGATGACCAGATGACTGGTACACATGTAAACACATGTAAATTCCCACCTCTGCCTGCAAGTGGAACCAAAATACAGCAACCAAGCACAAGTAACTAAGTTGGACTTCATTGAAATTAAGAAGCTTGGCGCCATAATGGACAGCATCAGAAGGTGAAAAGATGATTTGTAAGTCATGTCTGATGAGGGAACTTGCTTGCTTATATAAAGAGCTCTGCAGACCCAGAAGTGACTGAGAACATGATTAAAGATGGACATGTGATCTGAACAGATGCTTCTCCAAAGACACCCAATACTCTACCAACAAGTACACACACTTTACAACCTTACTGCAATAACTTTTAAAAATCCTAAATCTTAGCAATAATGTAGAGAAATCAGCAACCTCATGCCATGATGTTGAAACTATAAAATGGTAGCATGACTTTTGACAACAGCCTGGTACTTACTTGAGTGAAAAAAAAAATAGTTTAACTTTGACATACCAAACAGGAGTTTCCATAAAAAAGAAAAATGTAGCTTATGTAAAAATCTATGTGTGGAAATTCATTGTAATAATCAAGTAGAAATAACTTTAATCAGGTATGATCAGACAAAGGGCATGTATTTCATCTGTTCCGTGGAATAACATTTGGCCATGAAGATAGTGAGACACTAATAAAATGCTCTAACACAGATGAACCCAAAAGCATGCTAAGTGAAAGAAGCCAATCATAGAGATCCTCATTGTATGAGGGTACTAGTTCTCCACTTTGTTGCTATTATTTATTTATTTATTTCTCCACGTTTTTAGATTGTCACATTCATCCTAGTGGTTGTGAAGTGCTGTGACCCTGTGGTGTGATCTGTACACCCTTGAGGATGGTGACACAGTATCTTCCATGTCAGTGGACTGGCCAATTGTTCTTCTTATGATTTGTTTGAGTGTTGTTGTTGTTCATTTGTTTTGTTATTTACTCTACAACCAGTCTGCTAGTGTGCAGTGACACCTTACAGTGATTTTCATGCAACTGTACTAAATAATAATGAAGCTGTACATCTTTTCTTGTGTCTGTAAGTTTGTCGCGTCTGTCGCTTTGGTATTAATTCAGTTCCAACCCACTCGACAGGTGAAAGAACTACTCACTCTGTAGGTAGTAGGCTTACATGTCACTGGAGATGCCAGTGGATTCTGTTGCCTTGTATGGGATTGTCATCCATGGAAAGGATTAAGTAGTTCAGCTACATTTTCTTTGTATGTGTTATGCTGTTTTTATTTTTCTGGTGCTAGAGAGGATTACACATGGGGCCCTGAGCATGCTAGACAATGAGATGCACCCTGGCCCTTGCTTGTTATTGTTTTAATAAAGTACCTCACTATATAGTGCAGGCTAGCCTTGAGCTTTCTGTCTTCCCACCTTTACCACCGAGGTGCTAGGAAATCAGGTGTGTGCCACCATGCCAGATTGTGTTCAATTATTTCCATGCTCTAAAAGTTTGGCCAGATTGATTCTTTTTGTTGTTGTTGTTGTTGTTTTAGTTGTTTTTATTGAGCTATACATTTTTCTCCATTCCCCCTTTTTCCTTCTCCCGATCTACCCTCTTCCGTGACCCCAACGCTCCCGATTTACTCAGGAAATCTTGTCTTTTTCACCTTCCCATGTAGATCTATGCATGTCTCTCGTTGGGTCCTCTTTGTTGTCTAGTTTCTCTGGGGTTGTGGCCTGTAGGCTGGATTTTCTTTGCTTTATGTCTAAAAGCCACTTATGAGTGAGTACATACTATATTTGTCTTTCTGGGTCTGGGCTACCTCATTCGACATGTGCTCAACTGTGTTCACAGCAGAATTATTTGTAACAGCCAGAATGTGGAAACAACCTAGATGCCCCTCAACTGAAGAGAATAGATAAGGAAAATATGGTGCATTTTCACAGTGGAGTACTACACAGCAGTGAAAAAGAATGACAGCTTGAAATTTGCAGGCAAATGGATGAACCTGGGAAAAACAGATTCATTCTTAAGTTATTCTTCAGGGATTTTCTTTTTAGAAAGAATTAAGAATTATCAACTTTTTATTAGTTGACCAATTCTGTAAGCTAAGTTTATAGGAGTGAATTTTTAGTTTATGGCTTTAATAGTGACATCTTATTATTTTCTAGAATATAAGGGCTTTGAGTTGGTGGGGTGATGGGGAGGGGACCTCAGCATACTATCTATGGGCAATCAGTAAGCTCTCTGTAGCTCTTCCTACTGATAGAGAGAAACAGGAGTCTCTGAAATCTTGCAAAGCAGACTGTAGAGTGGGAATATGTTGATTTTTGTAGATTGCTGCCAAGTAGTTACTTATGAGAATTTAACTGAAATATGTGAATTACTGACCTTAGTTTAAAATAGGTTTTATGTTAGCTATTTTATAGTAGCCTTTAGATGAGATTTTAGCAGCCAGATCAGCTCTGCCTATTAAGAGTTTGACTGCCATGTTCTAAAATGTATGGAAGATGGAAGAAGGACCCTCGAAGGGCTTAGCAACCGTGTCACTGAAGTCCCTGGGGAATCCTTCTGCAGTCTGGCTTTGCAGTCAGCCACACCTGGAGTCCCAGCTGTCTCTCCCTCCCCAGTGGACACTGCAGGATTGATGGGAACTGGTGGACAGGGAATGGTGTCCCCCTGGTGCATCTGAGATGCATGCCTGAGGTGGGGGATGCAGGACACTTGGAATATTTCCGCCCTCGTTTTCCTGTCTCCTCTTCCCTGATCGTACACAGTGAACACAGGGGAGGCTCACCACACTCTTTTCAAGTTCTTGCTGTCCCTGTGTTTTCAGAGGAAGGAACCGAGTTGCAGAGAAGCAAAGTAGCCTTTCCACTTAGCCGAGGTCACACAGAGGGGAAATTCAACCGTTTCTCCCGTTACCTCAGCAGTTGGTGCATTCTACCTTCCAGTCTAGTTCAGACTAATAAGAGAGAGGCACTCCCGGGGCAAGTTAGGCTCCCTTCCAGTTTTCCAGTAACGTAAGGAAGTCCTTCCTCATCTTGGCAGTTGTCCTTCTGAAATGGCCACACTAGCCGCTTCATCCCAGAGCTGAAATAACCTATAATCTGAGCAAGGGAGAACCAAGAGCAGCCTCGTTCACTGCGAACCTGTCTGCAATGGATTCCCAAGGCTCATTGTGTAGCCCATACTTCCACATCACTTTTAGCCGTGAATAAGGGAACGTGTGCATTTTCCAGGTGCCTTGATATTTACAAGTCTTACGTTTTACCATCGGAAGCGGCTCCAGCGAGCATATTCATGGGTTGACACAAGTAATTAGCCCTGACAGTAGAACTGCGAGATGATCCATTCAAAAACTTGTTTCTCTGTCACTCCACTCCAAATCTAATAGCTGTCTAGGCTTTAATCAATTCTCCATGTGGACAAAGGGCCACCTTACTAAATTCCTCCACCTTTGCTTCTAGTAAGAGAATTTTATCAGAATTAATATATGCTTGGAATTTAATCTTTCTATATGCAGGAACTGGTAAAGATCAGAGATGCTAATCTTTCTAGAGAGAACAAATCAATAAGACAGAGGATGGGCAGGAAGAAGAAGGAAGGGAGGAAGGGAGGGAGGGAGGGAGGGAGGGAGGGAAGGAAGGAAGGAAGGAAGGAAGGAAGGAAGGAAGGAAGGAAGGAAGGAAGGAAAGAAGGAAGGAAAGGTGAGGCATCTAGGGTGTGCTGATGATACACTAGAGGTCCTGAGCCCTGTATGAACAACCCCCCCCCCACTCCGAGAACATGGACTCCTGTCTGAAGTGCCTTCACCTCCCTCCCAAGGACTAAAACAGCCTGTTCACTACTCCTTCTTTCTGGAGAAGGCTGGGAGAACCCATTCCTCTCACCTGCCCCATCTCAGGAAATTCTTTTGTTTCTCCCTTGGTGCCTCCATCTCAAGAGAGACCATCTTATAGGGTGTGGGGGAGGGGCAGACGCACCAGAGGAAAGAACAGCGCTGCTTTCCTGCTCCTGCCCTTTCTAATAAGATGCGCACTTCCCGGAAGAACCGCCCTGCTGCTCTCACCAACTCCGAATTCTCCAGTCTATCAGGAAGCGGCTTCCTCTCAAGAGACACATCCCACTAAACTCCTACCATCGCTGTGGCTGAGGCCTAGGGCCTCCTTACCTTAGTGGCTAACCTGCCCCTTTCTCAATCCTTCCTACCCCCCCCTGTCTTCCTAATGCCAGGTGTGCCTGCTTTCCCCCGCATGTTCTATTCTGCACGCTCTGGGTCATGGCCACCTCTAAATATCTCCTCTCCTATTGGTCAGTAACTTCCACATTGATCTCCTCAGTACAGATATCTTTAGGGGCTTCTGAGATTGTATGTAACCTATCCAAGGACTTCTCAGAAGCTGCTGTACAAATTGGATTTCTCTCCCCTCCATCTGGTCCCTCTAATGTTGCCTCCTGGCTGCAGGGAGTAGCCGAGTGCTCCTGATGTGTCCCCAAAGGCCCCAGTGCTTCCTCTTCTTGTCACCTCCAGCAGAGCCATCATTACTCTGACTGGATACTCAGAGTTAAAAATGGAGCGATAGGAAGCCCAGCCAATCATACAAGCGTTGCAGTTTGGTCCCTAAAGGAGATGGGTGCCCTTAGAGCACCAGGGGACTGCTGCGTTGAAGTGATCTGTAGGGTGACACAGTGGGCTGAACAGATCTCTCCAGAAGCCACTCCACCCAGCTCTGAATGTGACTTTATGTGTAACACATATCTCTGCAGATACAGTGAAGGCTGTCAAAATAATATCGCCCTGGGTTAGTGGTATAGACCCTAAATGCAGCGACAAGTGTACTGATAAAAGAGAGGAAAAATAGGGAGAGTCAGACAAGGATGGATCACAGGAAGAGAGAGGTAGGACTGGGGGCGGGCAAGAGGCCAGAAATCCAAAGGACTCCCAGTGCCCCAGCAACATGTCATGGATTCTCTGAGGATTTGCTATCTATGTAAAGCTTTGGATATGTTCACCCTACTGAGACCTGCTCAGCCAGAAGCTCTGCCAGGGTTTCAGATCCACTGAAATCCACACTATCGTTTAGGTAGCATTGCTAGGCCCCACCCTGAGCTCCTGATGTGGTGGGTCTGACTGGAATCCAATAAAACACTTATCTACTCATCTGGGAGTTGCTCTGGGAACCAGATGTGGAGGTGGACCCAGTCCCTGTGAAGGGGGCCCCAGAGCCCCAAGAACATGTTCTATAAATGCCACATGATAAATGTGAGTCAGCCTGTCTCAAGTGTACTTTCTATGAAACTCCTTTTCAGTGTTATCTAATGATCTAGCAGCAAAGGGGTTCTTAAATACCTGTTGAGTTAGTCAAAAGCCGTGTATAAATCAGCCTAGATTAGATGTCTAGAGTTGAAAGTTCTTACCCCACCTAAAACTTTCTACCTGTCTTGGCTTCAGCATCCCTTATAATTTATTGTATTCAATTTCCACTTTTCTGATCCATAATTTGAAATTTGTTTGTGATGTTATCGGCAGTCATTATTCTGCAACTTGATATATGTGTTATAATGGTAAAACAACAGCAATTTTCTTTTTGAAGTTAGATATTGGTGCAGTCTGTGCCAATGGGGCATTTGGCAGTGTGTAGATAGAGGATGTTTGGTAGTTACAATCACAGAAAGTAAACAGAGAGAGAGAGAGATGGTCACTGGTCCAGACTTGGGGCCTAGTGCTACTAAATGTTCTTTCTCCAGAGGACTACCCTGTGCCATGAAAAGAAACAATAACCTATCCATAGCTGATATTGATAGCTTCTTGGTGACATGACTTCTGGGCCTGTGACTCATGTTGGCTGGACTTACTTCCTGTGAGCATCCTGTGTGTGTTTTACTGGTCCTTCAGAAGGGCTCCACACCGTCTTATATATAATGTGATTTAATTCTTCTAGCACATACTTCTTCATATGCAAGTCTAAGCACTGTGAGTTTTCAAGAACCTCTGAGGTGTAAGCCTGCCCGCAAAAAAAGTCACAGCGCCAGCGCCAGCAAGAAGCTAGGGGTGGTAAAAGAGCGAAATAAACAAGAGGAACCCAGAGGGGACAATATCTAGTGTGTCAGGAAAATTCAACCAGCAGACAGAGCCAGTGCGAGTTGGTATCAAGAGTTATGACAAGGAACTGACTCATACAGTTGTAGGAGCTGAGCAGACAAGCCCAAATTCCATAGGGTGGACCACCCCAGTTCTTAGGAATGGCTGAAGATTCAGTCCAGTCCGTGATACAGTTTCTGCTGCGGCTGCTCTCGGGCCTTTACACTGATTCACTCAGGCCCATCCAGATGGCCCAAGGTGAGTTCACCTGGCTGTGGACTTTAAACACCGCATCAGATACCTGTACAGCAGCACCCTGGTTTGTGTTTGTTCTGGTTTTTGAAGAACGGAAGAGTCATCAGTGGAGAAGTGGAGAGGAGACATTCCAGACAGCTTGATGCCTAAAAACTAGCCAAAGCAAACAATGAAAAATGCCCTGGGTGGAAAGGAAGGCAGGTGTCTGGACTGGCTGGCTGTGCTCCGTAGCCTTTCTCTGACCTTCAGCTCTCCATTTTCTCATCTAGAGAAACAGGTTCAGCAGTTGTCAGATCTTTTCACCAAGGAACAATGAGATGATGTTTTATGGCCATGATGGTGGTGATGTTATGTTGATGTGAGCTGGGGTCACTGTGTTGGAGGAAAGGCTGGTAGGAAAACAGAGCGTCTTGTGACAAGCTTTATCTAAAGTGTGCCTCTTCAATCAAGGAACAAAGCATGAGCCAGCAATCTCTTGATTCATACTGGTTCCTAATGACTAAACACGAATGAGAAACCTATGTATCAATCTATAGCCAGTTACTGCAAAGTCATATGCTTTGGGCCTAAGACAAGGCAAATTTCCTTTTTAAAACAGAAGTAAGCAGGCTGTATTGTTGGTACTTGAAGTATTGGTGAGGAAGAATCACTTATTATAAGTACTGGATGCTTTGCCTTACTAGGAAGAGAGTTAAACCATTGACAAGGAGCTTGCTCCAAATTTAGGTAGTGACTGCTGTGGCCAGTTGACAGTCGCCAAAGCAAGCACCAGTAAAGGCCTG